GGGAGAAAGAGCAGGGGAGAGGGGGACGCAGGAAAGGACCACAGTGGAGGGAAAGGGAGCAGGAGACAGACAGATCCACAGACAGAAATACATAGTAGTGGGAGGAGGGAAACCCTGAAATCGGTGAGGGGTGAGCCGATGGGATGTGGATGGTTAAGTTTGATACATTGGCTTCTGGCTGTATATGTTTAATTTAACAACTAAGTTGTTTAAACAGATTTGAATGAGAGTTACAAATCTCCCGTTCATAAGGCTTGCAAGGTGTATAATTATTTGCTTCCATTTGCAACCTTTATTCACACAGAGGTAGAGACTCGTATGTTCCTGATGGGTCCCTTGTCATTTTCTGGGAAGGATGGCTAGAAGGAGGTGACCTGGGACAAGAAATGACTGAGTCTGCCCCCACATGCTGCTATATCAAGGAATATTAGACGCATCAATCTTTTTTTTGATCCAGGAATTTGGTTTTTCTATCTCTGGTATTTAATTCATGTAAATGGTCATTAACTTCTGAAATCACCACTGGTGACATCTCACACTCACCTCTTATTATTGTTTTCTTAATATAACGTGGTCTCCACCTTTTTCAAGCTTTAAACCTAGAAATAATTACATTAAAAAGAAACAACCCTAATTGTTTTCGGTTTTCAATATATTGTGTGCACCTCAGATTCTGAGCCCTGCATCCTTTCCACTGTCTATCACACCTTCAGGCATTGGTTGGTACTTAGTAACATGAGGTGGTCTCAGCGTGTACTTGGTAAGGATGTCTATGATCTTTTTAAAAAAAAATATTTTTTTTATTGATTTCAGAGAAAGGAAGGGATAGGGAGAGAGATTGGAATCTCCATGATAAGAGAGAATCACTGATTACCTGCCTCCTGCACACCCACTCCTGGGGATGGAGCCCCAAACCCTTGCATGTGCCCTGGACCAGAATTCAACCCGAGATGCTTCGCTCTGCAGGCAGACACTCTCTCCCTTGAGTGAAATGGGATAGAGCACAATGTCAGTGATCTCAGCAGTCAGAAGCTAGTTCTGTGAGTTGGTCCAATGTTCAGCACTTCTTTCCTTCCCTTCACGCGATTTGTTGAATTAGTGTCTGTGAGCCACAAAGAGCTGTTCCCCTCAGTCCCTCTTGTCCATTCTCTAAAAATACTGAAGGATGGACTGGGTTGAACTCGATCTTTGTTCCCACAGAGCCCATCTAGTCTTGGTGAAGTCATTTGATGAGCATATTTCAATAGATAACTTTCCCCAAAGGCTTTAGCATGAAGATGTATTCTCCGTAATTTCCTGGGACAAGAGGAAGGAAATCTGCCTGGGAAAGCTGCAGGTGTACAACTTCCTGCTTCACCCCCTCCCACTACCCAGAGATCTCAGGGGTGCTGGGTCTGATGTCTGGTACCCAGCGCTATTGAAAACAGCTCTGGGGGAGCTTTACAGGCCCCAGGAGAGAACTAGTTAAAGATGCCCTGTCATGGGCCTTAGGGCAGACTTTTTCAGGGAAGGTAAGGGGTGCTGTGTTGGGTTTGCGGTTACAACTGGGCAGTATGTGCTCTCATTGCTGTAGTAGCGTATGGATATCTTTGGAAGGGCAGACACATGAAGACAGAATAAAACTCCTCACTGTGTGGTCTCCATGTAGGAGCTCATTGTTCCTCACTCTCCTGTGACCAAGGACAGGAGGGGTGGCCTTTTCCTCATTTCTAGGTCCTTCTGACTGTGAGTGTGAGGGGAGCTGATTAACAGGCTGTGCAATCTCCTTTGAAGGCACATTCTGTGACTCCTCAAAGTACTGTCACCTGAGGAAACAACCCAGACCCCCGATCAGGACCAGGACCAAATGGCTGCTTCTCAGGTAAAAGAATGGTCCTGCCTCAGAGGCTATGTTTGCCTTTCCTTGAATATTTGTTGATATATTTCTCTTTCTCTCCCTATGCCTGTGTCCCCTTTGCTGCCCTTGTTACAGAATGTCCTCTTACTCACAGCGGGCTGACTCTGCTGCTTCTCCCTCTGCTCAGTCATCCCTAAGCCGCCCTTTCCTTGCCTGCACTTGCTCCCCCCAATTTATCTCCTCTGAACCAGTCTCCCTGTCTGAAGTGCCTACCCCTTTGTTGCCTGCACTTGGGTTCACCAGGACCCATCTCTCTTTCAGCCCCCCTTCATCTCTCTGGGCTCCGTCCTCTCCTCCATATTTCTCTACTTCTGATGTTCTTGCCTTTCTTGGTTGTTTTCCTTTCCTTATTTCTTTCCTTTGTTCTTATGATAGCCAGTGAAAGCAGTTTCTATATTTCCCTCTCTCTCTTTTTCTCTCAATTCTTAAAAAAAATATATTTTATTGATTTTTTACAGAGAGAAGGAGAGAAGGCTAGAGAGTTAGAAACATCGATGAGAGAGTTCAGTCAGCTACCTCCTGCACACTCCCCGTTGGGTATGTGCCCACAACCAAGGTACATGCCCTTGGCCGGAATCAAACCTGGGACCTTTGAGTCCAAAGGCCGACGCTCTATCCACTGAGCCAAACCGGTTAGGGCTCCTTCTCTCTCTTTTTTAATATGTTTTTATTGATTTCAGAATTGGAAGGAAAGGGAGAGAGAGAAATATCAGTGAGCAAAGTGAATCTTTGATTAGCTGCCTCCTGCACATCCTCCACTGGGGATCTAATCTGAAACCTGGAGTGTGTCCTGACCAGGAATGCAACCTTGCCCTCCTGGTTCATAGGTCAACGTTCTACTTCTGAACCACTCTGGCCGGGATATACTTCTCTCCTTTTTCCCAGAGCCTTCTCTGCCTTCATTTTTTGCAACCTCCACAAGGTAAGGATGCATTCCCACCTTTAATTAATGACTCTCAACTATTAAAAACATCCCTTTTATGACAGATCCACCTGGGATGGCATTCATGTCTAACATCCCTATTGGGATGGGGTCAGAGGCTCTTGTGTCTTGAAGAAGGGAAATGTAGGTTTTAGGTTCAAGTGGTTGCAGCATCAGCTTTTTATCAGGGGTAAGAAAATGCACATTTTACTGCTCAGAATAGCTCACAAAGTTCTAAGAAGAGTAAATAAAAGAGCGTCACTCACTAGATTAGTACGAAAGACTTGGTAGGTAAATATACTATTAGCTTACAGAACAGGAGAGGTACACATGCATTGACACGTGCAAAAATTAATGTTTATTTTTGATTATTTCCTCATAATTATTTATTTATTGATATGTTTTTGCCAGTAATGTCAACAGTGGTGACCTGCCCTTCCATGTGCCTCAGTCAACTGATGCCCATTGTCTCACTCTACCTCAAACTACGGCCCGCAGACCACATGCGGCCTGCCCAAAACAAAACATTTATCCGGCCTGCCGAAAACATTTATCCGGCCTGCCGAGTGTTTTTGCCACCGCTGCCTGTCCTGCTTAGCAGCCGACTCGTTCCGGGCCCGCAGTGTGCATGTGTGGAATGTCTGAGGGACAGTGAACTGGCCCCCTGTTTAAAAAGTTTGTCGACCTCTGCTCTACCTGATGTTCACGTGGCAGAGGTGCTGCACTCACCGTAGAGTTAGTAGTCCCCCTTTCTCCGTAAGAAGGGTTAGTAGGGGTTTAATCAAAGTTGTGCAAAGACCATCACTTCACATCTGGAAATGTCCCTCTTAGTTTGTGTTTCCTTTTGAAAATGAAGGACTTAACGTTTATTTCCTATAGATCATTGGCTTTTTCATGGGAGCTTAATATAATCAGGCCTTGATTATTTAAATTTTCATTATATTTTATACTCATGTAACGGACATGCTGTACATGATCACTTTTTGTATTTTCTAGACAGTTTCCAAGAATGATATTATTAATGTGTGTTCAGTTACATTAAATTTCTACAACTTAGCTCTGCACTGATGACACATAAAATTTTTGAATGAAATTTAGTAGTAAGAAAAATTAGTTCTCCCAGGCTGGTGTGGATCAGTGGTGGTTTTGATTCCTTGTCCAGGGCAAGTAGGTCCTGGGTACCCGTGGTAGGCAGCCAATCCATGTATCTCTGTCTCTTTCACATCTCTCGCTCTCTCTCTCTCTCTCTCTCTCTCTCTCCCCCACATACACACACCCTCTCTCCAACCTTCCTTCTCCCATCCTTGTCTTTCCCTTTCCTGGCTCTACCTCCCTGCCTTCCACTTTTGGAAAGTCAATGCTAAAAATCTTCTCAGGTAAGGATTTACAACCACAAAAAGGAAATAAGTCTAACTTGTTTTATATCCTCATGTTTCTCTCCGTATTGTGTTTATAAAACACAAAGGGGAACATACACAAATGGATTCATGAGATTTACAGAATCACTAAACCATCTTGATTTCATAGTTGTGAAATGTATGTCTCTATGTTTAAACGGTTAACATGATTTCAGCTATTTTTTCTTTTTAAGAACATTTTTATGGATTTCAGACAGGAAGAGAGAGGTAGAGAGAGTTAGACACATTAGTGATGAGAGACAATTATTGATCAGCTGCCTCCTGCACACCCCACACTGGCATTGAGTCCAGACCGGGAATCAAATCTGACCTCTTTTTTTTTTGTTGTTTGTTTTTTTTTGTTTTTTGTTTTTTGTTTTTTTATTTAATTAAATCTTTATTGTTCAGATTATTACATTTGTTCCTGTTTTTAACCCCCATAACTCCCCTCCTCCCAGTTCCCCCCCCACCCTCCACCCTCACTCCCCACCCACTGTCCTCATCCATAGGTGCACGATTTTTGTCCAG